GCTGCGGCAGAGCCACGTCTCCCTGCCAGGCTCCAGCTGGGCTGGGAAGGAGCTCCTTCTCCAGGAGCTGCATCCGCGCTGTGGCCTTCGCTGCCTGGCACGTGCAGAAGTGTCACGGAGCCCTCACATCGCTCGGCCCTCGTCCCCAGCCCCGCTGCAGCACCTCAGCAGTATGCTGCCCTGGCGTCACCGCGGCATTTTGGTGCTGGCCCTGTCACCCGCAACCTCCTCCTCCATCCCCTCGCAGCACTGCAGGACCCTGCATGCAGAGGGTGACCGGAGGGAGTGGGTGGCAGCACCCAGCCCTGACACCATGACCCAGGGGAGAGTATTTCCAAAACCTGTGGTCCCCAACGAGCCGTCCCAGCGAGGGGCACCCAGAGCATCCCTCCTGCAGCAGCCCCGCAAGCAGCTGCTCAAACGCTGCACCTGGAGGGCTGGTGCCCAGGAGGGACACAGCGGGGAGGGATGGCATTGCCTGGGCTCCCCTCCTGCTCTTGGACGAGGGTCCTTCCCCCTGGGACGCCTGTGATCTCCTCCTGCCCACTGCCCCAGAGATGCTGCCGCTGTCCCTCACCCCCGAGCGTGCCTGTGTGCGCGGGGAGCAGTGGGGCTTACCCTGAAGGCTTCTGTGGAGGGTTCCTCGCTCTTGCTGTTGGCGACGGGAGCAGGGTCGAGGGATGGAGTTGGCGCTGGGGCCGCCTTCTCCTTCTCCTCCACAGCCTGGCCAGGAGCAGCGGGTTTTGTGGTCTCAGACATCGCGGTGGTGGGCTCAAGTCTGGGACAGGGCGCCAGGCAGAGATGCGTGCAGCAGGTTAGAGGGGAAACACGAACGTGGGCTCCCACTACCCATCCTGACCCTCACCCTGCCCCAGAGATGGTCACATTGGAATGGGGGCTCAGCAGTGAGGTGGGTGGCTGGGGCTGGGAGAGAAGCTGCGGGAAGGTTCTCCAGGCAAGTCCAGGCAGGGGGTCCTGCCTTCAGCAGTAGGATGGCAGGGGGTCCTGGGTGTCCACTCTCCTTCCGTGGCCAGGACAGCCCTGAGCATGGTCCCACCACTGCAGGTGGTGTGCAAGGCCGCCCTGAACACTGGTGTCCAGTCGCTCCCTGCTCTCCCTGGCCAGGTTGGGGCCTGATCCTGCACTGGGTGCTGGGGCCATCCTGCACGGGGTGTGCCTGGGAGCCCGGCTGGGCACCGGGGCAGTGTGTGAGGGCATGGGAAGAGGACAGCCCCGGTTTGCACGAGCCCCTCCAGCAGGGACCCTGCTGCTAGCCCCACAGGTGAGTGTCACCGGTGGCTGCGGGGGAGTGGGGGCTGTGGGATGCTGAGCACCAGGGTGCTCCCAGAAATGATGACCATGGCGGTGGCCACGGCTGAGACCCTGCATTTCCCTCTCCCCCCCTCAGGTCCGGCTGCAGCCCAGTGCCCGGGGACTTTATCCTCTTACCTGGGCAGCTGCTGCTTCTTGTTGGAGTGAGCGGGCTTGTGTTTCGGGGCGCAGCGAGGCCCCCACTTTATAGCCTGGCAAGGGCAGACCCCCAGGCGGGCACACAAAGAAACTGTGTGGCCACGGCTGAGACCCTGCATTTCCCTCTCCCCCCCTCAGGTCCGGCTGCAGCCCAGTGCCCGGGGACTTTATCCTCTTACCTGGGCAGCTGCTGCTTCTTGTTGGAGTGAGCGGGCTTGTGTTTCGGGGCGCAGCGAGGCCCCCACTTTATAGCCTGGCAAGGGCAGACCCCCAGGCGGGCACACAAAGAAACTGTCAGCTCATCAGTGTCTGCGCGGCCGCCCAGTCATCACATCCTTCAAAGCGCTGGGCGA